GCATATTTATCACTTCTAGAGATGAGGCAAGTTCTGTGGAGTCAGAACATCACAATCCAGACACATGGTTTTGGGTGTGAAGTAGAGGTAATGTCCTAATATCTTCCACAGCTTTTGCAATTTCCCTATTCCCTCTACCTCGGAGCAGGATTCACAATACATCTAGTCCAGGTCCACCTGGAAACCAGTTCTGAGAGGGATTCCAGGCAGGTTAGAATTGGTTATCTGATTCTGGATTATTTAATTTCTTTTCTGTTGCAATGAGTTTATTCCTTTCCATATCTGTAAATGATTTGAAGGAATCCACAGAAAATCATTCATTTCTTCAAGATCCAATTCAGAGTCATCTGCTAGTATTCTGTAAATACACTGCATAGGAATAATGAATAAATAATAGGAAGTGATCTCAGGAAGTAATACTCTCATTGCACTTTGGGAAGGGGGCAGCAGATGTGGGTATGAAACATCAGTAACACTGCTCTCCTGGGAGCATTTAAGAAGACCCTTTCTGAGGTTCACAGATTTCAAGGTGTTGTGACCAGGATGATGTGTGATATGGAAACTGCTGAACAAAGAATATTGGAGGAAGAGCCCTCTTCAGGGAGAAGAGAGGGCTGACAGGAGTGATGCCAACAAGAGAGCCATTATCAAATATATACAGGGTGCCATGGGGAGGAACAAGCTGACTCGTTTGATGTCGCTAACAGCCGAAAGATCGAAGGTATAGATTGGTAGATATGGGCAGCTCACTTGCACAGCCAGAGTCGTCCAGAAATGGACAGAAATGTAGGGAACTTCCTATAAGAATTTCAGCCAAGGCTACATGGCCATTTATTTATGATGTCAAAACTGGTATCAATACATTTAGTTGGACCAAATCACCTCCACAGCCCTTTCCAACACTGCAGCACTGTTTTTAAAAGAGAGGTACTTTGGCACATATACAAAGTCTCTTTTATGTTATGTCTAAGCCTTCTTCTCTTCTGTCCATCCCCTCTTTATCTTCTTAGAAATATCTGAAATTCAGGGAATCCTTTGACTGGCACCACTTGAGATTCCTCAAGCCCCAGTGCAGTTTTTTTCCAAAGTATGTTCTTAAATCTCCTACAACACTAAAATCACCTAAAAAAGAGCTTATTAAAAATAAACGTTTCTATGCCCTGCTGCAGATCTATTGAAAAAAGACCCCTGGGGATGGGGCCCAGAAATATGCATTAAAACAAGCTGTCCAGGAGATTCCTATACCCACCTAAGTTTTAGAACCACTGCCCTAGCCTATTTCTAGCCAGCATTTTCTGTCCTTGTTAATTTTATAGGTCAGCAGTATCCAGTTCTTTCAGAGGGAGTAACTGAGACTCAGAATGATAAAGTCCTGGTCTGTGAAGATATCTGACTAGTTTTCGTCCCTTTGCCTCCCTCTGCCAGGAGGGCAGCTCTGTGCAGATGCAGCACACAGGAAGTGTTGCATCTGGTGTTCTATCATAAGAAAATCCTGAAACCTCAAAATAAAAGTTTTCCATTGCCTTTTCCCTGGGAGAGATAATAAAGCCACTACTGCCAAGAATAAGGAAGCTCAGCAGGACTGATACCTGTGAAGGTGGTGGTCCTCAATATGGCTGCACATAGATATCATGATTGGAACTTAGAAAACAAATAACTAAGCTAGGTCCCGCAGCAAGACAATTCAGTCAGAATCTTTAGGGCTAGGACATATCGTTTCCTTTCTAAGAAGGACCGATTCAAACATCATAACTTTTGTACTCGCACAGCACTTTGTATAGAACACTATTTTTGTGCTGATCACAGTTTTTTGTAACTATTTACACATAAGTGTCTTCACCCCACCTCGCCATGAGTACGTGGAGTAGGGACTGTATCATCAGTGCAAAAGTAGGCATTCAGAATATATGCATATTTAAAAGTAAATGAAATATTGTACAAAAGCCTTGAAACTGCACATGCTCTAGAATAATCTGTGGAGTATCGAAGTTTACTTTATGCCTCCTGGGAGGAAATTTCTGAGCAGATTTTACAACTCTGTTTCTCCATTTATGAAGATATTCTAGCATATAGTAGTTACAACTCGAAAGTTGTCTTTTGACTAAACATTAATAAAATTTCTAAGTTATAAACAAAGATTTACCACTTGTCCTGAGGTTGACACCGCCATTACTCTTAATTACTCCTGAAATCTTGTACATTACTCACTGTGTCCCCAGGGAAGGGAAATGTGAAGAGAGTTCTGCCTTAAGAAAGAATGAATTCTTCCTGAGGTTACACATTGTATACTTAAAATATCTCCCCTGGATGGTTATTGATATCTATAGCATTCCCTAGCATGCATTTAAAAGAAGAAATAAACGTTTGGAATTTTGTTGGGGAGTCATCATACCCTTCAAATTGCAAATCAAAATGAGAATCGTTCCACATTTAGCTCTGGTCCTTAGTTACAGAGAGATGAAGGGAGTGGGGAACAGGAGGCAGGACCTCCCTCCACCAGGAGAGCAGCCGGTGTTTCCTGGTGTACTGGGAGAGACACTAGACATTCTAGCTCAGAACAACAGTCTGCCACCCTGGAAATACCACTTAGGTAATAGTGGAGGCTGTTTTACAGCGTCCCATAGTTGTACAGCATCTTGCTACTATTATCATTCTCCCAAGAAGCCTTAATTTAGATGCTTATTTTGAATAATTGCAGTATCATTAGCTTCTATTTATCGGATAACTTACATATACCAGGCACTATTCTAGGTAACTTAGCATATTGACTCATGTAATCCTCACAGTTCTGAGGGGTAGCTGTTATTATCCCAATTTTACAGGTGAAGAGACTGAGGCATAGGGTGCTGAAGGTTGTGAGCGCCATATAGATTGCACCACTAATGTTTTGTCACACACATTTTGTGTGTGACATAGGTGGTATAATTAATTTGCTGTGGCACATGGTAGAAGGCACCAGAGATATTTTAATAGGGGTATTGTCATTGGATAAAATCGAGTCTAGAAAGACTAAGAGATGAGGACTGACTTGTGAGGCAGGCTGCAGGTACTAAAACAGATTTCTGGTGTTCAATGAGATATCAGACCTCCCCACCACTCACCCTGGAGAGGCTTTTGATTTTCAACTATTGATTCCAACGTGTCTAGTGGAGACTGGACCTATTTGAGAAGCATCCAAGGGCCTCACAAAGATTGGCCAGAAGATTCTGCTGATGACTGTCCAAGTGAAAGAGAGATGTCTCTTCTGTCTGGTAGAGTGTCCACCTGAGCACCAGACAGAGCCCGTGAGTGAACTGCTCCGTAAATCCCCTCTGCTCACCACAGATTAGCAGGCTCCACCATCATTTCTACTGTTGAGAGCCAGGAATGGGGTCACTGATATGGTCAGGGGAGGAAGCATAAATCATATACCTAGTATATGACAATCTCTTGGTAGTCACATTGGGATGGTGGTGGTTCTGAACCCCAGGTAGAGAGCTTGAGCTGAGGGAGGAAACTTGACTCTCAGAATGACCCATAGGATAGCACATTAGTCAAATGTTGTGAGTGAAGGAGTTTAGTTACCACCAGGTACTACGATGCTACTGGGCTGCCTTCATGGCAATACATCTTCCTTATTTTGTCCACATATATCCTCCCTTTTGTAATTAAAAATAATCTTCTCATCCTTCTCTCCAAGATCCTTCCAAGTGACAGTCGTTGTTCTTCCTTCTTCTTTTTAGAGTGTTATTATGTGTATTATTCTGCTAGAGCTGCCATAACAAAATACTGCAGACTGGGTGGCTTGAACAATGGAAATTTATTTTCTCATAGTTCTAGAGGCCAGACATCCAAGATCAAAGGTGTCAGCAGGGTCAGCTTCTCCTGAAGCCTCTCTCCCTGACTTGAAAATGGCTGCCTCCTCACTGAGTCCTCACATGACCTTTTTTCTGTGCATGTGTGTCCCTGGTGTCTCTTCTTTTTGAAGGACACCCATCCTTTTGGATTAGGTATCCCATTATGATTTCCTTTAACCTTAATTACCTCTTTAAAGGCCATAAATCCAAATGTGGCTGCATTGAGAATTAGAGTTTCAACATGTGAATTATGTGGGAACACAGTACAGTCCATAATAGCATTTGGATTCTTAATTTGGGGGTTTATATGCTTTAGTCCTATAGCTTGAAGCATTATACACACAAAAATACCCATGTATACAATCTAAGTTGAATCTCTAACTTTAATTTAATTTCCCATTTGATGTTTTTTTCTTCAAGAGAAAGACACAACTAGAAAGTAACTGGGGGCACCGAAAGTATAATTTTAGGTCTGAGGATGAGAAATGGATGAAGGCTGCCCCATTCCACATGGATAAGTGGAAAGGGGCTGAAAGAGCTGGAGGCCAAAGAGTCAGTGGTGTGGTGGAGTGGGGGCGGGGGGGTGCAGGTTGTTGAAGCTGACAGTCCTGGGTTTGAATCCTGGGTCCTCCACTTGCCTGTTGTTTGGGCTGGGTCAAGTCGTTTTCTCATTCTCAGTTCCCTCATTTGTAAATCAGTCACACTAATCTGCTTTTAGGGGATACTGCAAAGGTGCAAAGTGTACAGACAAACACATGCACACATGTGTGCACATATGTAGACGTTAAAGTGCCTGACACAGACAGAATAAGAATTCAGAGTCAGCGTCTGGGGGTGACATTTTTAGAAAACTTTAAAAACCATTTAGATGCCAGTGTCTCACAGACACCACTTTGCCACCAGGCCCACAGGCAATATGCATGCAAGTCTAAAGCCACAGAGGAAATATCAGACTCCCACCTTCAAAATAAAATAAAGGCTCTTAAATGCAGAGCCTGGCATCTTCTCTACATCCTATCAGGAGCTCAGCAGAGTGAGGGAACTTCTTGGATGAATAGACTTTTGTTCACACTAGACTGAAGTCTCCTTGTGAACAAGAATCCCATCAGCTTGGTTGTACGCCTAGAACCAAACACAGTGCCTGGTATATAGATGCTGTAAAGTATTTATTAATGACTGGATGAACTCATGCTCACAAATTACTGCACTTGGCCTTGCAGGTAGACACATCAGAAGCCTGTAAAATAAGAATATGGAAATGACCTTTTTCCATCCTAAACCCGAACAGTTCTTAGAAGTTATTCACAGTTGTTTTAGAATTTACTTCACAAATAAAATGTAACCCAAAGGCTTACAATAAAGAATGACCAAGAACTCCAGACAAAAAATGTTCAGACTTAGTTCTTTCACATCCCATGATGAATATAGCAGCAAAGATGCTTCTTAAAATGGGGCTGGCCCCGTGGCCGAGTGGTTAAGTCTGTGCACTCCGCTGCAGGCGGCCCAGTGTTTAGTCGGTTCGAATCCTGGGCACGGACATGGCACTGCTCATCAAACCATGCTGAGGCAGCGTCCCACATGCTACAACTAGAAGGACCCACAATGAAGAATATACAACTATGTATTGGGGGGCTTTGGGGAGAAAAAGGAAAAAATAAAATCTTTTAAAAAAAAAAAAGATGCTTCTTAAAATAATCTTAAGAGCCCTACAGCAGGCTTGGAGAAAAATTATCTTAGAAAATAATTTTCGATGGATGAGAGTTAAACCAATTTTCTAGCAATCAAAAAGAAGGTGCAGAATTAGTTCCATAATACCTGCTATTAAGCTATTTTAGCCTAATATTCCTAACAGAAGACACATATCAGACATAGGTGATGATTCTTCTGACATTTTATGTCACTAAGATATTGACCACGGCAACAATTCTTACATGTAATATAGGAGAACAAATTATAGTTTTCAGGGGTGCTTGCCTAGAGCTCAAGAAAGAAAGGAAATTTCTGCAGCTGAAAATTGCATGTAGCCTTCCCAGGGGAAAAAAAATCCATCGCTAATTGCAACTTTTAACAAGATTTACGTGATCTAAAACACATTTATAAGAGCCAGCCGGCATTTTCATGCCTTTGATTTTGGATAATTATTTTTATAGCTGAAAGATTTTTAAAGTCTTTCATTACTTTTGGCTGTAAACACAAGAGCTTTTGATTTTCAGATTCCTCTCGGCTTAAGAAAAAGGCAAACAAGAGGTATTCTTCCAAAAATCATTTTCACAGGGAAAATGATTGCCCCAAGATAATTAGGAGAGAGCATGTTTAATTAACACAGCCTGAGGGACTAACCCCATATCTGACATAGCCTTGGGGTCAGAGTCACTTAGCCCCACTCATTCTATGTACAATTGTCTCCCAGTGGTTGCTGGGCGCATTCACGGAGACCACTGCTGCGGCTACGTGACGGGTCTCTCTGCTTCCATTCGTGTTCAGGAAATCCATTCTCCACACAACAACCAGAGTAATCTTTCATACTAAATCCCTTCTAATGACCTCCCCTGACATTTAGAATGAAACCAAAATTTCATCCCATGTTCTATGTGATCTTCATAATCTGGTTAGGATTGCTTTAGCTAAGAAAATTTAAAAAGAAATTTCAGAGAGAAAGAGTATAAGCTTTGGATCTATGAATATGGCAATAGTTTAATAGGTTTAACCTGAAAATGTGACTGGCAGGATTCCCAGCAGCTACTATCCCGGTGACTTCTCTTTCTGCCTATTTTTTTCACTCTGACTCTGTGTTTAGAATATTCAGTCCTATAAATCTCTAATAAACCACATTTTCTCTTTGTTTCTAACAAGAATTGCCCCAAGCACCTGCACCAGAAGCAAAGACTCTGCTACTAAATCTGATTTATTTACATCTGTGAAATCTGAGCAAAGCATAACTTTCAGTCGGATTGTCTTTGCATTGAATACTTTTGCTTTAATCTCAATATTAAAATTCAATACCCTACGCCAACATTATTAAAACAGCCTGACCTTAAGAGGCATGTCAACAGGAAGCAAAAGACAGCTATCTGTGGATACAATCAACTAGGTATGGAAGGAAAACTCCAGAAATGAGCATCTTGGAGCTAATCTCAACACTGCTGCCCACCACCTGGCTCACAAAGGCCCTTCTTGTAACCTCTCTCTGTCTCTCTTTCAGTTTTATCATAGATTCATCCATATTATTAATCTTCTAAAGAAACAAACTTTGGGTTTTTTGATTCTCCCCATATGTATTTGATTTTCTTTTATTTTTCAGTTTCTACTTCTACCATTATTATCTCCTTCCTTCTACTCTTTTGGGGCATTTTCCTGATGTCACTTTCTAAAATTCTTTGGATGGATTCTTAAATGATTATATCCCAGACTTATTTACCTTCTAATGTGTATGTCTAAGACTATAAATTTCCTCTATTCACAGATTTGTCCGCATTCCTTAATTATTGAGTGTTGTATTTTTGGTTGCAATGACAATATTCATTGTCATTCAATTGAAAGTAACTTTTAATTTGATTGTGATATCTTTTTTGACCTACAAGTCATCTAGACATATTGCTTGATTTCCAAAATTTTGGCAATTTTCTGTTACTGCCTTCTAGCTTAATTTCAAAATAGTCAGAGAACCTACTCTTTAGTATTTCAATTATGTGACATTTGTTGAGAATTGAGCAATGGCTTAACATATAATCATTTTGTTAAAAATCCACTGCATGGGATTTGAAAACAGTGTGTATTCTTAATTTCCTGGGTTCAGTCCTCCAGTTTATTCAGGTATATCAAGTTTGTTCATTTGTTTTTGAGATTTTCTATATTTTGTTAAGTTTATTTGACTGTTCTATCATATACTGAGAAAGGTGTGCTAAAGTTTTCTATCAGAATTTTGGACCTATCTATTTTCTATTTATTTCTGTATAGTTTCACTTTACGTATTTTGAGGTATATCATTAGGTACATATGCATTTTGAATCATTATATTTTTCCTGGTGAATGAACTTTTTCATCATTACAAAATTGTCACTGTTTATCTCTAATAATGATTCTTGTCTTAAAATCTGAAAACCCTGATATAAATTTGCTATTGCGGCTTTCTTTTTGTTAGTGTTTGTATGATAGCCTTTCTAAATTCCTGTTTTTTCAACTTTATATTTAAGATGGGTCTATTGTAAGCAGCATATAGATGAGTTTTCCCCCCGAGTCTGGTGGCCAATTGTAGTGGGTTGAATAGTGGTTCCCAAAAAGGAAAAAAAAATATCTAATCCCTGATACCTGTGAATATGACCTTATTTGGAAAAAGGATCTTTGCAGATATAACTATGTTTAATATTTCTAGAAGAGATCATCTTGAATCACCCAGGTGGACCCTAAATTTAATGACAAGTATCCATATGAGAGACTGAAGTATAGAAAATACAGGAAGAAGAGAAGGCCATGTGAAGATAGAGGCAGAGACTGGAGTTATGTAGTCATAAGCTGAAGAATGCTTAGTGCCACGAGAAGCTGGAAAAGGCAAGGAAGAGTTTTCCCCTGGAGCATTCAGAGTGAGTGGGCTTCCAGAACTGTGAGAGAATAAATTTCTGTTATTTTAAGCCAAGAGATTTGAGGTTATTTGTTCTGGCATCCCTAAGAAACAAATAAAGTACTTTTTTTCTTTTAAGTAAGAATATTTAGTCTATTGGTGAATAATATGGTTATCCATTTTACAATTTTCCATCTTTTATTTATTGTCGTTTTGATCTGCCTGTCCTTGTTCCTTTTTCTCTGCTTCCTTGACTTCTTGTGGTTAAGTTAATACATTATTATCAATTTTTCCCTATATTAGCTTATTACATAATATTTTTTATAGTTTTAGTGGTATACTAAAGATTACATAATGCATCTAACAAATATAAATCAGTACTTTCCTGCCTTCCAGACAATTCAAAGTATTTAGAATACTTCAACATTATTTATCCCTCTTCTGACTTTGTTTACCATTAATAAATAAATTCTGAATTTATTTATTATTAATAAAATATTTATTTTTCCTTTAAAATTTTTTTCTGGATAGATAATTTAAGATTGGGAATTATAAGCTTTTAACTTATTAATTAAATCATTCATTTGTTTCCTCCCTTCCAATGTTTCTGTTAAGAAGGCAGCTGTAACTTTCTTATGGTTCCTTGGAGGATAGTACAGACCTTTATATGCTTGTTTATAAGACTTTCTCTTTATTTTTGGCTTTTACCAATTTTATTGTGATGTTCTTCATGGATTTCCTTGGCATTACTCCTGATATGGTACATTGCTCTTATTAAATGTGTGCGTTGATGATCTTCATCAGTTTAGGAAAGAATCACTGTCACTATCTCTGCCTTGTTCTCTCACCCCCATAACTTTTTGGATTTCAATTGCATGCATGCTAGATGTTTGCAACATATTCCATATGGTGCATATGCTCTTTGAAGTTCTCATCATTTTGTCTCTCTGTGCTTTAATCTGGATATTCTCTTCCTTTCCATTTTCCTGTTCACAAGTTCTCTCTTTGTCTGTGTCTAATATGTTGGTAAAGCTACCTATTGTTTTGGGGTTCAATAGTTGTATTTTTATTTATATGATTTTTATTCGTTTTTATTTATAGTTTTTACTATTCTACTGAAAATTTCAGTGTTTTGTTTAATTCCATAAACACATGAAGGTTGGGTTTGTTTTTTTAAAATTCTAAGTATAATGACTTCATTATTTGGAGTCCCTGTGGACTTGACCCTTCAATCTGCTCTTTTTTTTTTTTTTTTGAAGAAAAAGTCTTCTCATGTGTCTGAGTAGTGTTTTGTTGATATCCAGACACTAAGTATGAAAACTTATAAAGATAACATAAGGCATTAAATAATACTATGTTCCTCCAGAAAGAATTTATTTGTGCTTTTGACATGCAGGGAGGCTAGTAGCACTAGAAATCCCAGTAAATCTTAATCCAACTAGGGAATGAGATCATTTAAAGCTGGGCTTTATTTAATGCAGGGACTGACATATTTCCTCTGCACCCTTCTCTTATTGTGGACACAACCAAAAATCTGAAGTATCTATCAGGCTTTCCTTTTGGTGTCCCACCATCCCCATAAATATGTCAGAAATTTTATTCTCAGTAGTATGTCTCAGCCACTGAATTAGGAATTGGAACTCGGAAGCCCAAATTCTCTGGTTACTATCACTGGGATTTTTCCTCCAATAGATCTTGGTCCCCTAACTCCTCACTACCTTAGCAGCTCTTTAATGCTTTCAAATACTGTGTGTGCATGTATCTCTCTCTCTCTCCCTATGATTTTCCTCCAGTGTTTTCAGTTGTTATTAGAGGATGCATTGGTCAAAAATACTGAATTAAGCTATTATTAGGAGAGGAGATCATAATACTAATCTTATTAAATATGGTAATGTGCCCACTTAACTATGATATTTCTAGCCTCCTTTAAATTGGGTTTTTGACCAATTAAATGTATATAGAAGTTGTTTTGTACAACTTTCAGAAAAGCTTCTTAAAAGAGTTGAGCCAGCCCCTTTCATCCTACTCCTTTATGCTGTCTAGCACACAGACATGATTTCCATAGTTCCAAAAATCATTTTGAAACATAAGGCACATTTGAAGATGCATGATGTGCGCTATAAGTGGCAGAAAAGAAAAGTATAAGAAGACTGGGTTTCCAATGAATGTGAATCTATGGTTCTGGCTCTTCACTTCTATCTTCTGAAAGCTACTATTCCTTCCAGACACTGTTATGAACAGCTATATAAAAGTTATATCTGAATGCAATTTCAAAGAACTATTAATATTTACCTAAACATTTTATTTTTTTTTTTTGGAGGAAGATTAGCCCTGAGCTAACATCTGCTGCCAATCTTCCTCTTTTTGCTGAGGAAGATTGGCCCCGAGCTAACATCTGTGCCTATCTTCCTCTATTTTATATGTGGGATGCCTGCCACAGCATGGCTTGATAAGCGATGCTTAGGTCCTACCCCGTATGTGAACCCCAGGCCGCTGAAGCGGAACATGTGAACTTAACCGCTGTGCCACTGGCCTGGCCCCTAAACATTTTATTCTTATTCTGTGATGAACAGACTTTTGTACATCCGCCTAGCAACTGATAATACTAGAACCCAGGACATATTTTTCCACCAAGACATCTACCAAAGTATAACTCAATTTCTAGGCATCAACATGTTAGTTGACTGGAAGAACGCTTATGCAAAATCGAGTTGGATATTATTACATTTCATCTATGATATTACTTGCTATTTCTCCTCCTAACATTTTTATTCATGCCTTTGCTATCTTCCTTTCATCTTTTTTCTGTCATATTAGGTTTGCTTAGGGTTCTATAAATATTCCTTCTGTTAACGATATGAGTTGTGTGACACCTAACAGCTTACGTTATTTACAGTCTTTGCTTTTTAGAGTAAAACAGGAAACCATCAAGTGCAGTGATTTACTCAGCTGTGGTACACAAGGTATTCTAGTCCTACTGATGAAGAATAATTATTATGATTATTTAATGATATATACAATGCCTGTTATTAGCTATTTATAGTATATGAATACTTGAGATATGCTGCTTCTAGTGCCAGTGAGAACAACTCATTTTTCAATCAAATCTAATTGCCAATGCTGGTACATGGAGAGAAATTTAACTCTTCTCATCAGATTTATCGGATAGCACCATTCTTGCCTGATCTCATATTGGTGCGTAATCTATATTAATGTCAAGGTGCTATATTTATAGTTGTGAGATAAAACCTGTCTTCTAACATGCCAGTCTACAGGAGCAAGAAAATAGCCAGAAAGGAGATATGTTCAACAGTAATTTACATATTGTTTTGGAATCACACTTTGGAGGCATCAGTAACCTGAGGAGTGCTGCTTCTTCATAGTCTGTCTCCTGTGATATCAGGGGAACAGGAACTACATATAAGGCATAAGTCTTATAACGTCTTTGAGTGCTTGCATGCAGTCTTTACTGCAAGGTCATCAAATGAGTAAGTGAAAAATGGAACGAGGTAGTTGGGCAGAGTGTCTAAGCCATCCATCCATGATTGCTAGGATTTAGATACCCATCTAACCTAGTTGAAGGAGAACAGAATCCTTTAACTCCCAAGAGTTAAAATCCCAAGAGTTTAAAATCCCAAGAAAAAAATCAGAATTACTCAAGTTCTGGCATCATAGCCGTAGGCACTGGGATTCCTTGAGAACTCCATCCCTCTGTTAGACATGGGTTTGAAGTGATCTGTCCTCTAAAAGAGATTCACTGGGAAGATCTGTGCTACTTTGAGGGAAAAAAAATACCGAAATGCACCAGGATTGTTGGTGCTATTTTCTTCCCTGAAGTCTCAGCTGTTGCAATTGAGAACTGTTTTTTTTGGTTGTATCACTAGTATGTCTTCTTTGATATCTACCAACTCTGTGATTTAAGATAAATTATTTAACCTTTCTTTGGCTTTAATTTCCTTGTTGTATAATATGGGATAATAGTATTTATTTCAAAGTGTTATTTTAAATATTAAATAAGTTATATGACATTTACTTAAAACAGAGCCTGAATGAAAGTAAAACTTGAGTCTTAGTGATCACTCCCATTATCATCATCATGTCGATTACCATCCTAGTCATCATTGGCAACATTGTCTATCTATCTATCTATCTATCTATCTATCGCTTGATCCATCAGCATCCTCATCACTGATCCTCAGCCTTGAATTTCAAGTTTTATACAGTTGATTTACAAAAGTGGAGGACTTATTGCTTCAGGAAAACATCCCTGACATATTTCTTCCTGACTAGGTGGTGAATGCTTATTATTTCTGCATGAATTGAGTGAATAAAACTAACACTGCTACTCTGTTCACAAATGATTAGATCAGGAAACGTTCATAAGTTGAGGGGTAAAGGAAACCTTAACTGCTTGAAATCACACACACACACACACACACACACACATACACACATACACATACACACACACATGTGGCTGGGGGGCGGTGGAGTGGGCACAGATTCAGCAACTCCCTACCTCAGTTCCTGTTTTGCCTGAAGTCTTTATTCTAATCCTGGCCTTTTCCTGCTATTTCTTCTTGTCCACTGCCTGACTTCTTCTTTAGCCTAATTCTATAATCTTGAACTCTGATGCCTGAAGACAATACAATGATATCTCCTGGCACCAGAAGAGTCCCTGCATTTACAGACTTCTCATTAGTCCCATGTACTGAGGTTGGTGGCCAAATCTTGTTTCTTGGAACAACAAAGCTGCTTTGTTTAGCCAATTTGTTATCCCTTCCTTGGGTCTCTGTTTTTGCCTGCATTCACGAAGATAAAATATACCCCCAGTCTACATAATAAGTTTTTAACACTACGTCTCCAAATTCAATTCAGATGCCTTCAGCAGACTTCACTGACTCAGCAGAAGAAATATAGGCTTTATTATGTTTTTTTAACTCAGAATCGTAAAGATACAACTCTTTGAAGAGTAGAACAAACAATATATTTTGAATCTCAGGGAAAACATGTTTCAGATTGAGTGAAATTTAGTCTATGTAAATTGTTTCCTCACATAGAGAGAGCAATCCATTCATCTGCATAATCATTTACTTAAAGATATAAATTTAGCATGTATTAGAAACTTAATTTTAAAAGATGCTCCTTGGAGACACCTCACTTAGACCTGAATTGGGTTTTACAGGCTATGCCATCTCTATTTCTTTGCTTATTTAATCTCCTTACTTGGTAGATACATTCCCAGGAAGCAATTACTCTTCCCCTAAATGCCTTAGAACTTGAGAGAGAGAAGGCATTGGAATTTTAAGCCATGTTTGGACATCCACACAAGCTAACATGGCACTCGACTTTCAAATAAGTCAGAAGAGTGAAAGAAGAGTATATCAGAGGAAAGCATAGTCAACAGAATGTGGGTTAGTGGTGATGGTATGAATAGGGTAGAGTAGGAAGTATCAATCATTTACTAATGGTCAGCCATGTCCTGTATCTCACAAGATGCATTATAGGGACCAATACAGGTCCGTGACTCGAAATGTTACAACTTAACTTTTTGTTCTTTCACTAGTCAGTCAAAAAGTTGAAAAAGTATATAGATAGGATTCAGGGGTTAGGTTGTTGCTTCTGTTTAGAAAGCAGCATACAGAGAGGAAAAAACAACTGCAGGGCCAGATATCCAGTGAATCAAGAGATAAAGAAGCATTATTTAAACAATGGTTGTGCTTGCTGCATTGTGCTTAGAACTGTGGAAAGATTAAAGTCTCGATTTTCAAATTGAGTATAGTCTAGGTGAGGAGGCAGGACTAAACAGTGTGAAAACAATCAGGATTCAGAATTGGTTCAACAGGTTGAAACTGTCAGAAAATATTGCCAACAACATCATCCTAAACCAGATCAGTAGACTATCTGGTGTGAAACAGTAATTTGACAAAGGAGTGGATTCAGATATAAAGGATCTGTTTATCTGACAACCAGGTGCAGTGGAGTCAATCTCAACCTGCAACTAGCAGTATGCTTAGTTCTAGAAGTGTTCTCTAGAAAGAAGGATCAGTGGACCAATTGGTAGATGATTGTGATGACCATGTGCTGCGTTTGCTGCTGGATTTACTTGTGCTGAGTTAGGATTTTTCACAGCTTTTAGCTCTCTATGGCAGCCCCCCTTATCCACAGGGGATACCTTCCAAGACTCCCAGTGGGTGCCTGAAACTGCAGATGGTACCAGACCTACATATATATATTTTTTCCTATGCATACGTGCCTATGACAAAGTTTAATTTATAAATTAGGAACAGTAAGAGATTAACAACAGTAATAATAATAAAACAGAACAATTAAACAATATACTGCAATAAAACATGTGAATGTGGTCTCTCTGTCTCTCAAAATATCTTATTGTACTGTACTCACTCTTTTTCCTCTTGTGATGATGTGAGATGATAAAACGCTTGCATGTTGAGATGAAGTGAGGTGAATGACGTAGGCGTTGTGATGTATTGTTAGGCTACTAGTGACCTTCTGACAATTCATCACAAGGAGGATCGTCTGCTTCCGGACAGAGGTTGACCGCAGGTAACTGAAACCATGGAAAGTGAAACTGCGGATAAGGGGGGGCCACTGTAATGAGAAATTTTCCTGCCAATTTTCCTCCATTTTTAGCTGTGCCTCTCACCTCACCTGGAATGTCTTCCCCTTTTTTCAACCAATCCAACTTTTTCTCATCCTGCAGGGCACATTCAAGTGGAGCTTTCTCTAATGATAACAGTCTTTATTTTTCATTGGTTTGACTGTTAATCTTTCCTTCCCCAGGCAGACTTTTTAAATTTCCTGTCTGTCAGATGATTTAATTTTACTAATGATCACAAAGGAGGCTGATTTTTAAAAAATTATGGTACAATCATGTGACAAGTTTTGTCCAATAGAGTGAAAGAATGGGTATGGAAGTAATAGACATATTTCTAGGCCTTGCCCTAATTTAAAAATAAAACAAAATCCCTTTCATAATTCTTTTATCTTTTTCCTTCCAGGGTGACCTTGAAAGCCCTTGTTAAGGATGTGTAGTACCAAGTTCAAAGCCTTGAGACCTCAGTCAGTACTGTCAGAAGTCCTGCCTAGGAGATGTCTCCAACCAGCAACATTGAATTTTATGCTAATGATAAACTCTTACTTTTAAAAAAAAACATTGGAAGTTTTGTCAATTTACAACAGTAAGTTAATTAGCGATATACTACTTCCACTATTTACTCATTATTTGAATTAATACAAGCAAAACACAACCATGTTTAACATAATTTGTGCTTAATAATGTTTTAGTTTTTGTTTCAATTACTACTACTACTATGGTTACTACTAGTGCAAACCATTCAAATATAATTTGGTGAGTGCTCGCTATGTACTAAGTATGCTTTGAGAACCGGACAAAAGTTCAATTAATAAGCACTATCTTTTGTCTTGAGGAGTTCACAGTGTAATGGAGATAAAATGACAGGAATAAAATATCTAATATTTATTGAAGCTTGCCTGAGGTGTGCCACTGTTGTACATCTTTCTATGTATTAACCCCTTTGTTCTTTAAAATAATTTCTTTGTATTATTCCAATTTTACAGTTGGGGAAACTGAGGCACAAAAAGATTAAACACAATGGCCCAAGGTTTCAAAGCTGGTGATTGGAAGGGCCAGGATTTACATCTAGGGACTCTAACTTCGGTGCCTATGCTTTACCTTCTATGCCATGCTGCCCATGAGAATTATGTGAACTGATAGAGCTGTGTACCGAATGTGATCAAGACACTTCATGGAGCAGGTGACACTAGAAGAAAATTTGACTGATGAGTAGAAGTTTACCAGGTACACTATAGTGCTAAGGATATGATTTTTAATTAATAAATTCTTTCCCCTGGATGTACTGATTAATTAATTGATTAATGGAGCTAATTTTAGGAAGCATTGGGCTAGGTAGTCTAAAAGCTCTAAATTAGTGATGACTTGGTTGTAAGAAGGAGAAATCCAGCTTACATCGTACTTGCAAAAAAGGACAGGAACACATATGAAGTCGCTTGCAAAGCTCAAATGATATAATCAGGACAGTATCTCTGTCTGCTTTCATTCTTATGAAGGATTTTTTTTCCATATTGGATAAAAAAGAAAAAAAAAGAAAGGACACTAGTTACTCAAACTCATATTTTATGGGACTGTTAACCTCTATAGAAAGAGCACTGAGATAGAGACATTTTCACTACCTCAATTCTTCCTTCTAGCCACAGAAGATGACTTGTTGTCCAGCCTTGTTTTCACGTTGATGGAGCCAAGTGACTGAGCTCAAGCCAATGAGTTGTGGGAGAAATGGTCTAAATCCATTCAGGCCCAGGTCTTAGAAATATTTTTTCTGGGTCTTCCAGCCCTCTTTCCCCCTGGTGCAGTGACCTTGGAGACCACATGTTTCAAATGGTGAAGTCACAAGCAGGAGTGTGACTCAATCCAAATTGGACTTACCTTGACCTATAAATATATGTTTATTTTGTGAAGCTGCCAGGCTAATTTGTTGCAGCAGCATATCCTAGCCTGTCCTGATTAATACAACTACTTGATTAATTCAAGTTTCAGAGATAAATCTTGGTGGACTAACTTGTATTGCATGCCAGTCTCTGAATTAAGTGCTACGGCAAGAGTTTGGAATAATCTGAATGGCCAGGCCTAACTTGGAACCACCCAAAAATAAACTATGTAGAATATTAGAAGAGTCAGAATGCAAAGGAACAGAGATGGAAAAATAAAATTGCGCCCACTATATATTCTATAGCCATTATTTGTCTTATGGTAGGTAATGAATACTAAACATAGTAGCCAATTTCCTAGACCATTGGTAATCACATCCACATCCAACAATGTATGAAAGGATAATCTTTCTGAGAATAAATCTGTGGTCTATTTCCATAATGTGAGCCTATTCAATGCTTTAGCTCAATAACCAAACACTTTTTTTCTGCCTGAAATTTTTCTTCTCGCTCGCATCTTATTTCGTGTCTAGGAGTTGATGCTGCTCAATTCAGTCATCTTATTCAAATATAGAAAGGTTTTTACATTTCTTATTTTTTACTAATACTGTCATATGACTTGATTTTTATTAAATGTTAATGCATTCGTCTTCAAGAAAAATTAAATTTCTTTCCTTGCAAATCCCATGGAAGTAGAAAGTTAAATCGAAAGGATCATGGTTAGTATTGTGTTTTAGGGAATCTCATCTACGTTAATCCTATTCTGGGGCCAATTTTTATTACAAAAAATATCTGTGCACTTAGGAAGTAGGCAGGAAATGTTAAAATTCAAAGTACATGGAGAAATTCAGTCCTTCTTTGTACTGTAGGTTGTATGGTGCAATCAGGGAAATCTTTAAAGGCATACGATTTTCTCACTTTAAATTTCAGACTTTTTAGGAAAACGCTACTTCCACAATTGGGCACAATTTTAAAGGGCAACTCCTGTCATAGTATAGATTATTTCTCTCATCTCAAGCTGCAGTTTTCTCTGTGCTCTAAAGCTATATTTGGCTCCATACTACAAATGGGTACTGTACTGAATGCTGTGAAGTACTTTAGAGTAGTAAGAGGCAAGGGAAATAAGAGGTGGACATCTAAATGCCCAGATCAGTAATACAAGCAATAAGTTAGTTTGCAGAGATTTGGGAGAAAAAGATAATCTCAATTGAGAAGAATGCTCTTGATAAACCTCATGAAAGAAAAGGGATTTAAAATCGCATGAAGAGGGCTTGTGCAAGGATAACAATTAAAAACTAATAAGGTCCTCTTATTTGAGACATTCAATCATAAATAGAGGAACCATACAGCAGGGTTGCTTTAGAAATTACATGGAGGATTGAAGTAAATTATAATTATAATCATCATCATCATCATCACCATCATCATCATTATGATGATCCATTGAAAAATTTATGCTTAGTATTCTTGTACTGAGGTTCTCTATGACTTAATATCAAGTGACATGTATTAAATAGTAATAATTTACCAAACATGGTAGTAAGCTCTTTACATAGACCAGCGCATTTAATGCTCATAACAAGCCTGGAAGGTAGAAACTGATGTCATCCCTATGTGTGTATGCATATGTGTAATCAGAAACTTTTCAGACCAATTTGAAAAATGAGAAAATAATTACAATAAACACCTCCATATTCACTAACTGCTCCATTTCTCTCTCTACACACACGGTCCATATACCAAACCATTTGAAGATAGAATGTATCCACAGCAACACTTCCAAATGTACATCTCAAGAACAAAATTACTGAAGAATTGATCTCTCAATATCAAGAATATTCTCCTACAAAGCCACACCATTACTATCATACGTGAAAATACATGTATGATAATAGATATATACATACATATGTGTAGTATACATACAATATTAATTCAACGATATCCTACAATATTCCATCTATTTTCCATGTCCAGTTGTCTGAAAGAGCATACTTATGGTTTCTTTCTAAATGCAAGATCCAGTAAAAATTGATGTATCTAATTTGGTTGTTATATCTTCTTAGTCTTTGCAATCTAGACTAGATTCTTCACCATGCTATATTTCTCATAATATTGAATCCTCTGATAACTCCAGGTCAATTGTCCTAAAAAATATTTCACATTCTTGATTTGCTGATAATTTCATAATGATGAATTTAGATCACATATGGGGCATGTTAGGACAATGTTCTAAACAATCTACATGAGCAGCTCAAAGCTCAAAGGTCACTTCTGAAAATAAACTTTCTGTTATTCCCACGTTAGCTCAAATACTGTTCTCTTTTTCTCTTCCTCTTCTGTAATTATTCTTCGACCCACCTTTGGAAAGTTGTCTTCTTTATTTTGTACTACAGAAATATGCATAGTCGCTAATTGTAGTGCACTGTTTAAGGGCTGGAAACTGTGTGACCCTCGAACATACAGGACAAACACAATCAACAGTTTTGGAGTAATGAAGGGATGAACACAAGATACACTGACCAAATTCATTACCTAATAAGTTTTGAACTTAATAATTTAAAAGGAAAAAGTAAATCCCTTTATGGCAAGGCTTAGGACACCAAAATAAATTCCAGATGGACTGAATTTTAAGCACTAAAAAAACCTGTGAAACACTCACCAATATATAGGTAAATAGTTTTCATAAATATGAAAAGAGATTTTCTAAAAATATGCGCAATTAAATAAACCAGTAAGAAACTGAAAAATTTAAATGCAAACAAAATTCTTTCCATATCAACACACACAAACTATAAAAAAAAAAAAAAAAAACACATAAAGGGCAAACAAAGCCAAGGAGAACATTTCCTAAAATATTGCAGAAAAAAATTGATATTATTCCCTAAAGAACTTATTTGTTAGCAAGAGTTATACTAAAATCCCAATAGGTTTGTAGGAAAAGAAAATGATGTGGTTTACAGAAGAAAGTATATATGAATGCAAATATATTAAAAAGTTTAATTTTATGTATGCTTGAGTAAATTAAAATGAACACAACAATGAAATATTTATCCAGCAAATATTCAAATATTTTGTAAAAATTGATTGTTTGCAAGGGTGCAGGTAAATGCCACTTTCATTTATCCATGACGTGAATTTAAATGCTCCTATTGCTCTGTAAGAAACAAATTAGGAATATATTATCAATAGCCTGAAGAAAGTCTATACCATTTGACTCATTATTTCATCTTATATGACTCTATCCAAAGAATGAGAAAATCTACCAAAGAATTGTATAAAAAGATTTTATGTAAATCAAAAGCAAAGCAAGTAATGATTGAATGAATTGTAGCGTAGCTATAGGATAGCATAATATTTACTATCAAGAAATTGAAAAACCTATTCCTTGAATGGGAAAATGATAACATATTAATGAAAAATAAATGAATATATAATATAAATATAGTATGATACTAATTATGAATTATAAACACACACTTTTGTTAAATAAATATCCTAGGTTAACTCTGAAAATAAGCTTCTGAGTCTTCTTCTGTTTTTGTTTCTTTTCCTTTTTTGTATCCTCCAAATTATTTTTAATAATCATGTCTGTATTACACTTGAAAATTTTTAAAAGTGTAAATAAACTTAAAAAATATTAGGTGCTGCTGTCAGATGATCTTAGTAGTCGGAGAATGATTTCATGTTAAAGGAGGTGAACAGTCACAAGCAGGATGCAATGCAATTTGGTTACTGGAAGAGCAGCAGGTGCATCAGGTTTTTCTTTCCACTCCTTTGTTGTTTTCACCATTCTGATACTTGACTGGGTCTTAACCATATGGATGTGCTCACTCGCACATTAGCCTGGTGTGCATTTGTGAGCTTCAGCTAAAACCTTAACAGGCAACTTGGATGCTTCTTGACATCCATATCGAGGTCAGTCCGAAGTAGGCAGCCTGTCAGTGATTGATTACCTGTGGGAATCCTGGGGAGTTTTACATTTTCTACATTTCCCCTCCTCTTTGGAATTTCGGCATTATCTGTGTTCAACTCTATCTGACATAATGAAGGTTGTCTAGATAAATACATCTTAAAATTGCCTTCATTTGCAAAATATTCAAATTTTGTTCATCTTAAAACTGAGTTGTTGTATGTCAACTGTAAAGTTTGGAGAAACTCTGTTATACTCCCTAATACTTAATTTTAAAACTGACACATAAATACACAATTTGAATAGCTCAATACTTATCAAAGAAACCAAGTTTGTATACAAAAAGCTCCCTACAATTACAATTCCTGGCCCAGATGGCTTCACTAGAATTTTGTATTAAGTATTTAAAGAAGAAATAATACCAATTCTACATAAACTATTTCAGAAAATAGAGGAGGAGGAAGCATTTCCGATGCATTTTATAAGGCCAGAATAACCAAATAATTCTGACACCAAAATCAGACAATAAGATTACAAGACAATAAAATTACAAAGCAATATTCATCATGAATTTAAATGCAGAATCCTTAACAAAATAGTTGCAAACAAAATTAACATTATATAAAAAGGAAAAAAAACCAAGAAAAGTTTATATCAGAAATGCAAAGTTGAGTTAATGTTTGTAATTAGATAAATATAGTTCACACATTAACAGAATAAAAGCTATATAAATATATAGCCAGCTCAGTAGATGTAGAAAAAGCATTTTACAATGTCAACATAGATACATGATAAAAAAAAATAAATCTCATCAAACTAGGAATAAAAAGAAACTTCTTCAATTTTATAAAGCATACATATGTAAGACCTACAGCCAACATAACATTTAATGGTAAAATATCGAATGTTTTCCCCTGATCAGGAAGGATGTTTCACTTTCATCATGGTTTTTAAACATTGTACAAAGGGTTGATCTATAGCAAAATAAATAAACATAAAGCACACAGATTGGAA